TTATGTTCACCATCACTGACAACGCCCTCCACATCTCATACACACCGGGCTGCTCCCCTACTAAAACTTCCCAAAGCCACGTGTTACACATTCCTTTTTTCTGCCATGCTCCCAGCTGTTTTGTGATGTTTTGATCTGTCTGTTTGCACAGCGCTGTCAGACTATATGCATGAAAGGTGTATTGTTGACATTAATGGTTTTTAAAATGTTTCTGTAAAGAGCCTACCTTGGTTATTGGGGTGGGAGAAGGAGGTCAGGGACATCTGCTTGAGTCTTTGCCAGAAGAAGACTGGTGTATGTTAACAAACAAACACATTAAAATGTGATCATGATCTCTACCAATGAAGGATATGGGAGTCTCTACTTAAAAAAGAAATAATAATAGGCAATAGTGACTTAAAGATATGGAATCCTACCATAGAAAAAGTATAAAACTATATGCTAAGAGGGATATACTTCCAAGAAGATCCAGGTAAACAGAATTGTTAGCTTATTCTTGGTCACCAAGTGTAAGGGTCTCAGCAAGAGAAGACACTGGGAAGAGGCCAGTTGGATGGGAGCCTGTGGATGTCCTGCTCACGGCTCTCTGGAGGACTGGATGGAATCTACTGTCCTTCACATTGCCCATGCCGGCCTGGATAATTTAGCAATTTTTTTTTCACTTAAGCAGATAAGAAAACCCAAGGCCCACAGCTCTTTAGCTGAACAGTGGTGGCAAAGCAGGTAGAACTAGAAAAGGGAAGACAAACTAAGAAGATAGAAAGTACTTTTGTGGTGGTAGAGAACATGGACAATTCATTCCTAATAGAAAATATTTAATATTATTATCTCTCTCCTTTTCGACCACTTCTTCAAAGGATGAATTTCGTTTGTTTGCTTCGCTGATCTTTTCCCACCAAGTTTGCTATGTTTGAATCTAGATGATAAAGACTGGCCATGAGAATGGGTGGCATTTGGTGTTTCAAGTCCAGCTTGAAAGAGAAAAAAATATGTATATACACACACACATATATTATTACCCTAAAAGGAAAATCCACCTTATATTTAATAGCAATCTATTTTTTAAAGACTTCATGTAAAAAATTTCACTCTGTGCCCATAGCAATATACAGTAAAGAATGTAATAATATAGTGCATTTTTTAAAAGTCTGTCTTGGGCCAAGGTATGTGAGTAAATTGTATTTTTTCAGATTTTTTTTCTTTAATCCTCCAACAACGATTGGCCCCAACTTTGCATACATTCCTTATGTTATCCAAATATCTTTGCCAATCTTTTGCATGCTATCTTTGGCCAGTGTTCTCCTTGAAAGATAGCAAAAAAAATAATGTTTTTTGTTTGTTTATTATTACTTACTCTTATAGAAGAAGAACTGCTACAATTGACAGCTTTATCAGCTCAAGCATTTGGGGGATGACTAGGTCTCTCTCTGGTCTCCTCCCTACCTCCCACAGCTCCATTAAACTGGAGATCTGCAATTGTTTCAACACATACTGATGAATTTGCTTCGAATTGTTTCACAGGCATTATTTGATGTGTCAGTACCCTAGTGAAACTTTTGTACTGATGTATTCCCCTTAGAAACAATAAATCACAGTTTTCTCAAAATAAATAAATTAATACACATTCATAGGCAAGCAACCAAGACCATACACTTAGATCCTGTGTAATCTTGACTTTCTTTAAAAGAATAAGACCACTTAGCTCAGTCAAAAAAAAAAAAAAAATCCAAACCTCTTCCTACTCTTCTCAGTATTCAAGTTCTGGAGCTTGAGTTTTGTCTCCTATGTTCTTTTTGCCTCAGCATTCTCAAATTCTTATTCTTTCTACTCCAAATAGCTGTAAGACTCCATTTAAATCCTATCAGATTCTTTTTACAGCTGAAATAGGAACCCTGAGGTCATTTCTAGGCCAACTCTGCTTCCTAATATGTGCGAATGTCCTCATCACACCTCCCCCTCCCAATTATTCTTTTAAATTCAACTCAGTTATTTTAAACACAACTCTTCAAAGTTAAAAAAATGTAACAGAGCCATGGAAGCAGAAATGCTAGAGCTTGCCTTTTTCTTTTTATCTCTCACAGGAACAGCATTTTTAAACACAAACTCATGTCAGACATTGAACAGTCTCTCCCCAGGAATGAATGTTTTGATTAAAAGTTATTTACTATCTGTAGTTCCTTGGAATTCTGCCTAAAGCTGGAGATATTCTTAGCTGCAGGTTTTGTGCTTTCAACTAGATAGGAAAATGGCTCAAAATCTAGAGGGAATAAATGGCATTCTCAAAATAGTTACTTGGTTGTATAGGTGTTTATATCATAGAGGACACTGATATGTTGAAATTTAGGAATTAGAAAAGAATGCTGGGGGAGGAGGAATGTGTCAGTGCAGCATCTTTCTACAGCCCTGTCCCTACATCCATTGATCCTCAGGCTTTTGCTTAAAATCAGTTTTAGGACACCTCATTTATACAGCAGAACTTAACACAAAGATTCTGTGTAATCTGTATGTCATGTTTCTTAACTTGAATTGGTATTTAAATCAAGAAGGGTTAAAGACATTTAAGCAGGTTGGTAGATCAAATATGATCTAATTTTTTATCTGCTTCCAATGTAAAATCATGGGGACAGATTCTCATAGCATCTAAATGTTCATTTAAAAATTTTTTTTTAGAAAAAGGATAACTTCATTTCAAGGATGCAAATAGAATTTTGACTCAATAAGTTATTTTTGCTTCAGAGGTAGTGTTGCTCTCAGTACAACCTCTTCTCTTTAACCATCATCCTTTTGAAGCAAAATATTTACAGAGCATTGAATTATTTTTCCAGCTTTCCAACAGCATTTCATGCCCTGAGATATTGATGTGACATAGTTAGAAATTGGGCCCTCCGGACCTGTATTGTGCAATGGCATTGTGCTGTTATCATCGGGAAATTCCATTTTTTCCAACCCCCAGGGTCCTGTCTATACTTGTTTACAGGTCATCTGGATAGCAACTAGTATATGTTCAATGGCATGAGTGTTAGCACGGTAACCTTGGCAACCGAGCTAGCTCTGATTTCAAAACCTCACATGCTGTATCATAAAATTAGATAACAGAATTGACATTTTGCTACATGTCTGTCATATAAATTAAGCTCTGAGGATGATTTCCTTTATAGCAGTGTGCCTTAATATGGAAATAGAAGGTACGAATTAGAACAATCTTATTACATATATATATACTATTCCACATTTACGTGCTGGATATAGTTCTTCAATTCTTTCTGTATGATTTTGAACCTCAGATATTGCCATATTACTCTCACTGTGCTGGAATTCTTGGCGGCTTCATTTTATGACTGGGATGAAGCTTATAGCAGAGCTGTATCAGATATCCTATAGAAATAGTATTATGAATAATAGAAGACTCTGCTCCTAAAAAAATGTAAAATTCAAAGCGTTCTTGACTTTACTGGATACCGTTATTTATGCTGATTAGAAGTAAGACTGTGCACAGAATATTCTACTAACTAAATCAGAATCCCAAAGACAAGACATGCTTCCCTTTCGTTTATATAGTTATGCATATTTTTACACACATTATATTTTCCAATGCCCAGGAATCTTGATAAGCTCTTTATTTCAAGGACATTTTAAACATGCAGATTAATACACTCATCTGCTTTGAGTCCTAGGTCCTTTATAATTTGTAAATATTTTAATGTCAGGATTTTTCTATTTGTTGTGGTCTGGTGCAATTTTTCTTGGATATAAATTTAAAGACTCAACTTGTGAATTACATTTAATGTAAGCACCCTGCAGTTTGCTGCATTGCAAATGATTATTTTTAGAAATTTTATGGTTGCCTGGATATATTTGTTTGTCTTCATTGATATGTAGGGAGAAAAGCTCATTAATGATTTAAAAAGAAGGTGTTTTGATTCATCAACTTCATTCTTCTCATTACATAAATAATAAAGGCAATAAATTAACATCTAATAAAGTTATAAGTTTATTTCTGAATATAACTGCAAAACAGTCTTGAATCCTTGGGTATAACTTTTTCTATTCTTTATATTTTTCTGCCTCCATGTTTTCAATGTCGTCATTCTGCATATTTTAACCTAGAAAGATGGTTTATAATTCTTATTAAAGATCCCTTCTAGCAGTTATCTATCAAACACCATAATTGAACAACTGTTTTGTAAAACAATTCTTTGGCTTCAAGAATGGTAAGTTATTATATAAAACATGGAAGATTCTTATGTCACAACTGACTATAAAACAATTTTCTTTTTTCCATATACCTGCTATGTGTCATATATAACATTTGATAAATCTGCTTCCAACATTTTCTCATCTTATTAGCCATCCGTCTAACTCTGGCTAGTTTTTTGTTAAATACTACCTTCTTACCTTATACCTAGCAAAAAGTGGAAATTCCTGCAAATTCAGGACTTTTTCTTTTCAGAAACAGATTAAGTGGTTGTGCTGTCTACATTTGTGCTTAAGGGTGAAGAAGGGCAGAAATCCTTCTGTGTATTTGCCGACCCTGTACAGCAAATACCTGTTACATTTTCTGTATTGTTTAAACTGTTCGCTTTATCTCATTGAGTCATCATCACCTTTCTGTTTACACTGGTAAATGGTAGTTTTTATTGTTTTCTTTTATCTTGAAACTATTTCTTGTGATGAACAGAAATAGTTCAGCATGTGGTGGTTCCAGGACTGAGTCCAGTTTGGGTAACCATCTATCCTGTGAAATAACTTCATCCAGAACTTTTCAATGCCTAGGCATCCTGCAGTGCAACATGGACATGAACTCGGGCTGTGTGGGAGCTGGAATGTGGGGGCTTAATGGGCTGTTTGCATGACTCCAAGATGTATTTTAATATCTGGTCTTTTTTTTAAATTGTGAAATGATATGGCATTTGATGGATGGGGAAGGGGAGGAATCCTAATGATAGAAGAGAAAATACAAGTGAAAAAGCGATACAGCTTCTTTTGTGATTTCCTTGTAGGTCCGATGTTGTGGTCCTCTGTTTTTCGATCGCTAATCCCAATTCCCTAAATCATGTGAAAACCATGTGGTATCAAGAAATCAAGCACTTTTGCCCTCGCACACCTGTTGTTCTAGTTGGCTGCCAGCTAGATCTCCGCTATGCTGATCTTGAAGCTGTTAATAGAGCCAGACGCCCTTTAGCAAGGTAAGCCAAGGGACTCAGTGTGCCTGTTAAATTAAAATTTAGAGGTAGCAGATGTCTTTGTAGCCTTGGGTTCTGTTCTTCAGTGGCTCTGAGATCCCATCAATCAGTCTGAATGCTTTAAGTTAGCTTGTTAATCGTGAGGACGGGATATGTCCTGACCCCTCTCATGTTCACCATTACCTCTTCTGTAAAAAATTTTACTTATTTTTTTAATTGTTGGAAAATTGCTTTACAGTTTTGTGTTGGTTTCTGCCATACAACAATGCAAATGAATCGTGTGTGTGTGTGTGTGTGTGTGTGTGTGTGTATTCCGTCCCTCCTGATCCTCCCTCCCCTTCCCACACCCCACCCCTCGAGGTCATCACAGAGTGCCAGGCTGCACTCCCTGTGTTATTTAGCAACCTCCCATTATCTATCTGTCTTACACATGGTAGTGTATATGTGTTAATGCTGCTTTCTCAATTCATCCTGCCTTCACCTTCTCCCACTGTGTCCAAAAGTCTGTTCTCTGCTAGGTTCATCAGTACTATATATGTATGCATTAATATACAATACTTGTTTTTCTCTTTCTGACTTATTTCACTCTGTATAAGAGGCTCTAAGGTTATCTACCTCACTACAACTGACTCAGATATGTTCCTTTTTATGGCTAAGTAATATTCCATTGTATAAATATACCACAACTTCTTTATCCATTCATGTGGAGATAGACATCTAGGTTGTTTTCATGTCCTGGCTGCAAATGAAGCAACTGACAGAGGGTTAATCTTCAAAATCTATTAGCAGTTCATACAGTTCAATATCAGAAAAACAAATAACCCAATCAAAAAATGGGCAGAAGACATAAACAGACATTTCTCCAAGGAACACATCACTTCAGTTCAGTCTCTCAGTCGTGTCCAACTCTTTGTGACCGCATGAACTGCAGCATGCCAGGCTTCCCTGTCCATCACCAACTCCTGGAGTTTACCCAAACTCATGCCCATTGAGTCGGTGATGCCATCCAACCATCTCATCCTCTGTCATCACCTTCTTCTCCCGCCTTCAGTCTTTCCCAGCATCAGGGTCTTTTCAAATGAGTCAGTTCTTCACATCAGGTGACCAAAGTATTGGAGTTTCAGCTTCAGCATCAGTCCTTAAAATGAATATTCAGGACTGATTTCCTTTAGGATGGACTGGTTGGATCTCCTTGCAGTCCAAGGGACTCTCAAAAGTCTTCTCCAACACCACAATTCAAAAGCATCAATTCTTCTGTGCTTAGCTTTCTTTATAGTCCAACTCTCACATCCATACATAACTACTGAAAAACGATAGCTTTGGCTAAACAGACCTTTGTTGGTAAAGTAATGTCTCTGCTTTTTAACATGCTGTCGAGGTTGGTCATAACTTTTCTTCCAAGGTGTAAGCGTCTTTTAATTTCATGGCTGCACTCACCATCTGCAGTGATTTTGGAGCCCAAAAAAATAGTCAGCCACTGTTTCCACTGTTTCGCATCTATTTGCCATGAAGTGATGGGATCAGATGCCATGATCTTTGTTTTCTGAGTGTTGAGCTTTAAGCCAACTTTTTCACTCTCCTCTTTCATTTTCATCAAGAGGCTCTTTAGTTCTTCACTTTCTGTCATAAGGGTGGTGTCATCTGCATATGTGAGGTTATTGATATTTCTCCCGGCAATCTTGATTCCAGCTTGTGCTTCATCTAGCCCAGTGTTTCTCATGATGTGCTCTGCATATAAGTTAAATAAGCAGGATGACAGTAAATATTCTTGACGTACTCCTTTTCCTATTTGGAACCAATCTGTTGTTCCATGTCCAGTTCTAACTGTTGCTTCCTGACCTGCATACAGATGAAAGAAGACATACAAGTGGTCAATAAACACATGAAAAGATGCTCAACATTGCTCATTATTAGAGAAATGCAAATCAAAAGTACAATGAGGTATCACCTCACACCAGTCAGAATGGTCATAAAAAAAAAAAATTTATAAACAATAAATGCTGGAGAGGATGTGAAGAAAAGGGAACCCACCTGCATTGTTGGTAGGAATGTAAACTGACACAGCCGTTACAGAAAACAGTATGGAGATTCCTTTTAAAACTAGGAGTAAGTCATCTGACCCAGAAATCCCGCTTGGGCATATACCGTGAGAAAACCACAATTCTAAAAGACACATGTACCCCAATGTTCATTTCACCATCACCTCTTAGTGAGGAATCCATTTTTGTAAAATGGTTGGCCAGAGCTTAAAGTGAGTTCTCTAATTAGGATATGGTGTATAAAAGTGTTTTGGAGCCTTCCCTGGCAGTCCAGTGGTTAAGAGTCAGCTCCCAATGCAAGAGGGGCTGGTTTGATTCCTGGTTGGGGAACTAAGATCCAGTATGTTGTCAAGTACAGCCAAAAAAATAAGTAAGCACAGCCGAAAAAATAAGTGTTTAACACTTGGTAAAGTGTTAAACAAAATGTTAGTTACTCATAATAATGTCTTTTTGGAAATTAAGATTTATAATAAAGGTAAGTGAAATTCATGTCTGGATAGTCATGTGCGGATGTGAGAGTTGGAAAAGATGAGCCCCAAAGAATTGATGCTTTTGAACTGTGGTGTTGGAGAAGACTGTTGAGAGTCCCTTGGACTGCAAGGAGATCCAACCAGTCAATCCTAAAGGAGATCAGTCCTGAATATACACTGGAAGGACTGATGCTGAAGCTGAAATTCCAATAATTCGGCCACCTGTTGCGAAGAGTTGACTCATTTGTAAAGACCCTGATGCTGAGAAAGATTGAAGGTGGGAGGAGAAGGGGACAACAGAGGATGAGATGGTTGAATGGCATCACCGACTCAATGGACATGAGTTTGAGTAAGCTCCAGGGGTTGGTGATAGAGAGGGAAGCCTGGCATGCTGCAGTCCATGGGGTTTCAAAGAATCAGACATGACTGAGCAACTGAAATGAACTGAACTGAACTGAACTGAAATTCAGAGCCACCATCTATGATTCCTGGCCCCAGGAACATCAAATTCATGCAAATACTCATATCCAAGTATTTTTAACCTCATTTTCCTCCATCCAACTTCTTAAGTATTTCATTCCTGAGGTGGCCATGCCCAGTTTTTAAAGATTATATAGACCTATGGTTAAAAATAGCAATACTGCTTTTTAAATGGCTCTCTGGTGGTGTTATTTTTAGAGTGTCACACATTTAAAATACAGCTTGAAGGAGGATTTGTTTCCATCTATATAAAATGTGGATACCAATCTTGGGAGGAATAAAAGTTTGTTTAAAACATGTACTCCTACAATATTCTTTCTAAAAATAATTGTATATGTGTTTTATGCTTAATTCTGTTTTTTGCTGGTGAACATAGCTTTTCCCAAAATGTTGATATTACTGCCTTCCTTCCAGGTAGTAGGTACTTTGCCTTAATAAGCTTATTATAAAATTTTATGTGGATGTAAGTTTTTATGCTCTCACAGCAAAAGGAAATGGTACTTTGTCAAGATAATTTCTGATGTTCTAGGTACATCTTGGATAAATGTCCTGAAAACATTTCATGTTCCTTCTATTCTTAAATACATGGACTAGGAACTGAATATTATAAGCCATGCAGAGGGAAAGAGGCCTCCTGGCAAATGAGAGACTAGCCCCAGGCTTCAGAACTTTCTGTGTCAAAGGTTAGGATACTACCCTGCATGTGTGGAGGCCTGAAGGAGAGTTACAGAGCTCCAGGGCACAGTCCTTTCCGTAGACAATGCTGAGGTTTCATGAAGGAGGTGGTATCTGAGCTAAGTCTTAAAGAGATTTGTCAATTAGTAATCCACCAAAAGCCCATAGGAGCAAAGCTTGAAGTTAACCCTTCTTTTCTGCACTTCACTTCCACCTCTGCAACTCCATGCAGTTTTCCCTGTTTCCCATCTAGATCCTCAAATCCAAATTCTACCCAGTATTACCTTATTTCTCCTAAGATCTGTCCCTGTCACACACACATCACCCTTGGTCCTGTACACCAGATATTTTATTTAGGAAGATCATCTCCAAAGAGTGCATCTCAGAATCAAGTATGTGTTTGTGAAGAATGTAATGACACATCCTATCTTGCCTGAGTTCTGGAATTCATCTGTGTCTTGATCACAGTTATACTGTAATTACAGCACTATTCTGCCAATACCAATTCCAGAAGCTTGGCTTCTTGGGGGTTGATTAGACTGTGAAAGGGCCTTGTGTGCCAGTCTAAAGGATATAGACTTTATTCCCTGGGCTCTATGGAACCAGAGGAAATTTTTTTAAAGAATTACAGCTAAGTCATACTTGTAGTACATAAGGAATTTTTGTGTAACAGTGAATGCTGTGAGCTAAAATGTGGAAAATTCTGAAGAAAGATGAGTTAAGAGGCTAATGTACTAATCCAGGCAAAAGATGATGGCCTGATTGAAGAGGAGAAGAGAAAGGGTGAGATGTGAAAGAAGGTTCACAAAACTAATAGAGGAGACCTAGGTGAGCTGTCGGACATGGATCGTTTAGCCTAGAACTAGGGAGTTCTGGACTCCGACTGCTTAGTAAAGCTCTCTCAGTGACTTTAAAATGTGACCTTAAGACATTTCCCAAGTGGAAAGGACCTTTAAAGTTTCTGCCTGTTTCTTCAGGATACAGAACGAAAACAGCATCCATAGGGATACTGGGAGGCCCAAGTGAGAAAATGAACATGGATTCCTTTCTAAATTATAAAGCAAAATGTAAGCATGAGGGGAAAATGATGAAAATGATGCTGATTGTGGCAATAATGATGGTTATCAGCTAACACTGATCAAGCACTCACTGTGGAACAGGTACTATGCTGGGCAAATTATCTCATTTAAATCTTTCAGTCATCTTTTAAGATGCAAGTACTTGCTACTATTCTTCCCATTTTGCAGATGGGAAAACTGAGAAAAACATTAAGTAACTTACCCAGGAACAAACAGTTAGTGAAATGGCTGATGCTTGAGTTATTGTTGTTACTACTGAAAGCCTTTTTTCCCCTGCTGTCATAAGTCCTTTGTATTTGAAAGATTTGAGGTTGGTAGGAGATTTTTCAAGAGTCTAGTTAAAAGTCTGAATAGGATTTTAAATGTGTAATTCAATTAGGTGCTTAGATAGGCCCTGATTACTATTTTTTTCCTGAAATAAGACTGATGTTAAAAATATTCTATTTCAGGCCCATAAAGAGAGGGGATATTCTGCCCCCAGAAAAAGGCCGAGAGGTTGCAAAAGAGCTGGGTATACCCTACTATGAAACAAGCGTGTTTGACCAGTTTGGCATCAAAGACGTGTTTGACAATGCAATCCGAGCGGCGCTCATTTCCCGACGGCACTTGCAGTTCTGGAAATCCCACCTGAAGAAAGTCCAGAAACCTTTACTGCAGGCACCATTCCTACCTCCAAAAGCCCCCCCACCGGTCATCAAAGTTCCAGAATGTCCCTCCACAGGGACGAACGAAGCTGCCTGTTTACTGGACAATCCTCTGTGTGCCGACGTCCTCTTCATCCTCCAGGACCAGGAGCAGATCTTTGCACACCGAATTTACCTCGCTACCTCCTCTTCCAAGTTTTATGATCTTTTTTTAATGGACTGTGAAGAAACCCCCCACTGGAGTGAAGGAGCTTGTGAGAGAGAGAAGCAAAGCAGGGATTCCCAGGGGTGGGCACAGAGTCTTGACCCAGATGAGGAAAGGGAAGAGGGCACCCCAAGGATGCCTCAGGCTGATCAGTGGACCCCCTCAAGCCAGAACCTGTCCCAACAGGAGACCCCGGGGCTGGAAGCCGAGAACTTGGTGGCAGAGACACAGACTTTGTTGGACTGGAGTAAAGGGTTCATTGGCATGCACAAGGAGATGCAGGTCAACCCCATCTCAAAGCGGCTGGGCCCCATGACCGTGGTCAGGATGGACGCGTCTGTCCAGCCAGGCCCTTTCCGGACCCTGCTCCAGTTTCTCTATACGGGGCAACTGGATGAAAAGGAAAAAGATCTGGTGGGCCTGGCTCAGATCGCAGAGGTCCTGGAGATGTTTGATTTGCGGATGATGGTGGAAAACATCATGAACAAGGAAGCCTTCATGAACCAAGAGATTACGAAAGCATTTCATGTCCGGAAAGCCAATCGGATAAAAGAGTGTCTTAGCAAGGGGACGTTCTCAGGTGAGCGGGTCCAATGGCAAAGCCATCAGTACCTTTGGTTGTGTTTTATCAAACATTAGCCAAACATGAGGAGGGGGAGATAACGGTGTGTAAGTACTTTTCCCCCATGTACCTAAGTTACGTGTATTCACCTATTTCATTCTCATCACACTTAAAGGTAAAATATGATGATCCCCATTTTGCAGACGGGGAAACTGAGGGGCCGGGAGGTTAGGTAACTGGCCTATGGTTTATACCGGCAGTCAGTGGTGGAGCCAGGATTTGAATGCAAGCTGCCTCCTAAAGCCCCATGCTGTCATAGTGCTTCTCAAAGGTAGGTCAAGCTACCCCTGAGCCTGAGCCAAACAGCTCAGCACTCATAGTTCCCCTTCAGGATTCCTTCCCTGATATTTTCTACTCACCATTTAGCATGCACCCATGACAAAAATCAGCAGCCTCCAGTCCCAGGTCCTTGAGGTCCATTGAGGTCCGCTGAGGTCCTTGAGGCCATTTTGGTGACCCTCTGGAAAGGGTCCCCTCTGGAAAGCCTCATCAGTTTCTCTCCCTTCTCCTTTGGGTTCTCACCATCTTGTGCCCTGCTCATCTAGATGCTTTTTGTCCCTTCATTGTCTTTGATAACTGCGCCAAGGGTTGCCCACAGCACCCTTACATAATTGCTTAAGCATCCTGATAACCTGTATCTAAGATGGGTGACTGGCCCATGCTTATCCTATCTCATAGGCTTGTGCTATTTTTGTTCTGTAATTGTCCTCTCTGTGTATGTTTCATTGTAAGAATTTGACTTCTTGACTTCCATTATTATATAGATATTTCTGGTTTTGTCTTCATCTTTCATAATTCCTGTCATCAAAATATGCATTTAATAACTGGTAGCTGAATCTGTTAATTAATTTTAAAATTTTGAGTAATATTTACTCCAAACATTGATGATCATGGTAGAGAGAGAGTCTTGAAAGCTAATGAAAAGAAATGTTACAAAGATTTACCTGCAGTAAATGAAATCATGGACCTTAAGTGAAATTGATGAAATCTCCTTTTCCTTACTAGAGAGGGATAGTAACCAAACACAGAGTGGGAGCCTCAACTGGATTCTTTTTATTTATTAAAAAAAAAACCTATAAAATACAGTTGGGAGTAATTAGAAAAAATTGGACATGAACTAGATAATGGATGATATTAAGGAATTATTGCTGATTTTCTTAAGAGTTATAATGGTATGGTTATCTAGGAGAATCTTATTTTTAGGAAATTCTGGGCAAAGTAGTTAGGAGTGCATTCAGTTCAGTCACTCAGCTGCATCTGACTCTTTGCAACCCCATGAATTGCAGCACGCCAGGCCTCCCTGTCCGTCACCATCTCCCGGAGTTTACTCAAACTCATGTCCATTGAGTCGGTGATGCCATCCAACCATCTCATCCTCTGTCATCACCTTCTTCTCCCACCTTTAATCTTTCCCAGCATCAGGGTCTTTTCCAATGAGTCAGTTCTTCACATCAGGTGGCCAGCGTATTGGAGTTTCAGCTTCAGCCTCAGTCCTTCCGATGAATATTCAGGACTGATTTCCTTTAGGATGGACTGGTTGGATCTCCTTGCTCTCCAAAGGACTCCCAAAAGTCTTCTCCAACACCACAGTGCAAAAGCATCAATTCTTCAGCAGTCAACTTTCTTTGTAGTCCAACTTTCACGTCCATACATGACTACTGGAAAAACCATAGCTTTGACTAGATAGACCTTTGTTGGCAAATTAATGTCTCTGCTTTTTAATATGCTGTCTAGGTTGGCCATAACTTTTCTTGAAGTATGCTGTTTAAAAATGTCTATACACAGTTTATATAGCTAAGGCAAACATGACAAAATTAAGCATGTGATAAACCAGCTACTGTTTTATTATTCTTTCTACTGTTCTCCATGTTGACACTTTTCTTAATAAGGAAAGAATATTCCTCTCCTTTATGTTGCTTTATGGTTCAGAGTATTTGTGTTGTGACCTTATGTATAATTTTAAATGCTTACTCCTTATATCCTTGGAGGACATGGAGAGAATTGGTGCCCAAGGTGGGGGTAGACACCACATCAGTGGTCAAAGGTATGAAAGAGAGATAAGAGACTAGGCGGATGGATGTGGATGGAACCCCTGGCAAGGCTGGCTCACAGGCTTGTGCTTCCTCCATCCTTGGGCAGATGTGACATTTAAGTTGGACGATGGAGCCATCAGTGCCCACAAACCGCTGCTGATCTGTAGCTGCAAGTGGATGGCTGCCATGTTCGGGGGGTCATTTGTCGAAAGCGCCAACAGTGAGGTAGGTGCCTTCCAAAAAGCCCAAGCGGCATCTTAATGAATATGCATGTGTATTTATATTAGAAAGTGCTGCCAGAGGACTTTGAATCTTTAACTGCCATCTTGGAAGACTTTTTTAGGCAATGCTTGAGTATCAGGTCACCCTCTTTCCATAATTCTGCAATTATGAGAAGCCTATTGTTCATTTGCTATGTGTGAGCCCCTAAGTCCCCCTGTATCCTTTCATCCTCACAGTGCTCCTCATCCCTGAAAACATGTACAGCTATATTTTTTAACAAATGTAACCAGGCAAGGTACTATATCAAAATCCCTTCAAAGAGGAGCACACTGTCTTCTAGAAGTTGGAGACGGTGGAAAGTGTCTTCAGTCACTTAAACCTGGTCTTGACTCTGCCAACAACAGATGAGGGATCTTAAAAAGCCACCTTCCTGTGCCTCAGTCTCCTTATCCTAAAGGTGAGAGACGTACTAGGTCATGCTCAAGGGCCCCTTGATCTGTAATAGTCCCTGAGGTTCTCTCCCCTAACCTGTCTCAACTCTGGAGTTTGTCACCTCTAGGGAAACAGAGATGGAGCAAAGGGTCTCTCAGAGTACTTGTTGCATCTAGTAGAAGCCACTGGGTCACTTGCCAAATGCCAGCCCTGTCTCCAAAAAGCAATGTTATTAGAGCAGAGCAAGCAGCACCTTGGAGACCTTGTATCTCCACCTCTTCACAAACTGTTGAAAAAGAAAGAAAAATTCCCTTCAAGCTTTTCTAACTTGTGTCTAGAGGTGGACATTTTTTGTTGAGTTTTGCAAATATTTCTTATCCATCTTTTAAAAATATATATGGGGACACCCCATCAAACTTATTGTCCCTACTGGGCTTATTTTTGCATATCTCAACATCTCTCCAAACTTTTAACAGAAACACGGAAAACAGTAACTAACTTCGAAGGGGAGCCCTCACCCCAGAAATCTGAGCACTCCCTTTGTGACCCAGAAGCCTGCATTTGCATCCCCAAGTAGGGAAACAGAATCCTGTAATCACAGGCCAGGATGGCTGGCTGTCAGTAGGCCACCCTCCTGCTTTCAGAACAGACTGCAGCTGCTCCTAAACCAACCTCCAGCCTAAGACTGTCTGCTGTCGGGGGAAAAGATGTTAGAATTATCCTGATGACCTCTTCTGATGTCTGCCAGCCTTTGTAAACCAGGAGGTCCTCATCTGCAGCTAAATGAAGTCTTTCCTCTGCTATCAAAGGTGTCTGGGAGCATCATTAACTAAGACCACAGCAACTGGCAGAGGCTACCCAGTGAAGGGACTGTGGGGCTCAGATCCCCAACTCCTCTGCGTACAAGCTGTTTGGCCTTGGGCCAGTGATCACCTTTCTGAGCTCCAGCGTCCCTATCTGGAAAATGTGAACATAACCCATAATGTGGTTGCGAGGTGTGAGAGTCAGTACCCGTGAAGCACCTTGTAAGAACTAAATGCAAAATGACGTCAGCCTTATGTGGATGCTGGCAGCATTGATGATATTCTTTCCCTCTTTTTCAAGAAAACTGGGGGACGCCGCCAATTAATAAAACCTCATCCAACTGGCACAGCACCAACTTCAATAATATCTCAAGATAAAAGAGCCCCAAGACTCGCTTCCCCTCTTTTTCCAACTTGCTGAAGCATGTGCCCTAGGGTACCTGCTTATCACCTGGCAGAGAGCAGTTGATCAAGGTCCAGGGCCCAGGCACAAAGAGACACTGTCAAAGCTGACCTCGCTGATGCTAATCCCCTTTATCCCTTCTCAGAATGGATTGTAATTGTCTCCAGATTAAAATGTGCAGGAGAGGTGACTAAAACAGAAACTTGGCGGCCAATGTGAATGCACACGGGTCTGGTCACGTCATAGCCTCTCTCTGGGGTGGCGTCTGTTTAGCATCGCACTGCTCACCCCCCTCCCCACCTCAAGGACGAGGTCACTCACCACTTAAAACTGCAACTGAGCCTTATACAGATGTGTAGTTTCAACCCAGCTCAAAACACAAAAGCCATGGAACCAAGCTACCAAAAGTCTATACCAAGACACCTAATATATGAAGAATGGTGTGAGCTGCAGATATGTCCACTCTTTCCTACCCCTTCTCATGACTTCCAGGGTACACGGAAGTGTTCTGTTATATACGGTTATGACCTCTAGTCTCAGTGTGACCTTGGGCAAGAGACCAACTCTTTTTAGACCTGTGTCCTCATCTCTAAAATGGGGATCACAAGAGAACCATCTCCAAAGGGCAGGTCAGGCATGAAAGTATGTGTGTAAAGCATCAAATTTGGTGCCTAAAACATACAAAGGCTCAAGCAATGTAGATGACTATATTCCTGGAGGAGTCTTGTTAAATTGTTTCCATGAGGAGTTCAAGGTCTTTGTCCCCGGACAGTCCTCAGGTAACAAGCCACAAGATCCCTTCCTAAACTAGCAGTGTGTGGTAGAGGTGGTTATGGGGGTAAGTAGAAGTACTTGGGTGAAGTCTCAATAAATGTTCTATGGTTAATTTAGGCCTGTATATGCATGGGCCTGTGCTTTCTAGGCCACCTTTTTACTCTTTATGGTTTTGTGAAAATCTGATGTCCCCCACAAAAATCCAACTTTTTTTTTTTTTTGCATTAATAGAATTCACATGCATATCCAGAAAGGAATAAAATATGCCCACTGATGTTCTTTTAACTTTTTTTGTCATTTAATATTTAAGACACTGTATTTTACTTCTGTTTTTCTCATTACTTTTAATGTAGCAGTAAGCATAATTCTCTCCCCAGAGGTACTCAGCAAGTGGTTTATTAAAAATGCATGCCCATGTTGTAGTAAGCAATGCTCTGGATCTAGAATACTTTCTCGTTCTCTATGAGACCGTCTCTAATTATAAGCCCAATAGTCTGAGCTGATCTTTGCAATTAAATTTTTAAACCAACTAAACTGGAATATGGGTCATTGTTAAGGGTAGCATTGTATTCTTATTTTTTTAAAAGCTACATTCAGCAGGTAGGGCACAATGTTTTTAATTCCATTTGTTTTATTTATATTATTTTTTAAAGTTCTATAAAAATGGTCTCTCTGTTGCTACTCAGTTTATTAGTAATGTTGAAATCACAGGGGAAAAAACCAACAGTGAGGGGAAAAAAAGTGCGTGTTCTAAAAATGTTTATTTTCATCTGTTGGTTACTTCCGAGGATCCCTAACATTATTTGCCAAAAAGAGCCATTGCTTTTAAAAATAAAAGTGTTAGTGTTATATTAAACACGAAGGAAACAGTAGGTCATAGATGCTTACAAATGTCAGAATGCTCTGAAGACATTGGGAGTGTTGGGGCACGGCTGCTTCCTGGAATCTATCATTTCCTGATGCCAAAAATAATTTCTTTTTATTTAGGATGTCCCTTTTGCCATTACTTAGAACACAGTCAAAAAAAAATTGCTTCAGTCATCTGAGTATCTTCAGAGTCCATAATCTTAGTGAAGGAAAAGCTTTAGATGTCATCTATTCCAAATCTCTCCCATGTCACAGATGAGGAAATTAAGGTTCAGAGATGGTGAATAATTTGTTAAAGGTCACACAGCATTTTAGCAACACATCTCTGGGCCTTCCCCAGCCCCTTACCCTGTCCTTCAAGTTAGTTTTTCAGAAACATCCTCATCCCTGAAGGAGCAGGTATTCACAGGAAGCCCTGGGACTTTATTTATAATCACTAACACTTTAAAGCACTTAGCACTTCATAAAATGTATATTTTTTACTATCACAATGGCCCCAAATTTAAAGTTTCACAACTTAATTAATTTTCAATTATTTAAAAATTGTGCTAATCCAAACACCATTCTAGAGAAATCAAATTTCGCCATATGTAATTTGCCATGTTTTCCATATGCTGAAAGTTCATGTCTATATAAGATAAGTGCTTGTGTACATAAATGTTTATCCACACAAATACAACTGTGTTCGATTTACTGGAATAGCAGTTAATTACAATACAATGGCTTCTGTATTTTAAAATGATATCAGAAATAGTTTCTACTTGCCAGGTTTTATTTATTATTGTAAAAGTTATGCTAAAAATTTGAAACTATCACACTTGTCAAGTCATTGATGGGTAGTAATCCACGCAGCTTATTAATAGAATCACAATTATTCTCACTGTGTCTGAGAGAGGAAGAGTAATTTTCATAATATTTCTAGGAATTTTTCTGGGCTCTCTCTTTGATACACCTAGGGAAAGCTCTGTCCGAAAGGATATTCCCTCTCTGAGATGGTTGGTGGCTACGCAGGAAAATTATATAAATGGTTGCTATAGCTTAAACAATTGCAACCACACCACTAGAAGACTGAAGTGGCCACAAGCCCCTTGAAGATTGTGGAGACAATTTATAAACAAATAAATGTACACACACAGACATATACACACACACACATATATATACACAAATATAGAGAGATTAAAATATATAATATAGATGTAATCATATATAACATACAGATATAATCATGCCATACATAAATGTAATCATAAATGTAATTTTTGTACCAGAATTAAGAAGTCTATAACTTTTTATACTTTTGAACTCAGAAATCTAATTCTTGAAAACTTAGTGAGATACAGTGCTGTATTGTAGCTTTCTTCCTTACCATGAAGGGTGTCCAGTCCTGCACAATCACTTCTGAACACAGACTTTAGAACCTCATTTCCTGGGTTCAAATATCAGTCCCAGCTTCCTAGCTCTGCCACCCTGGACACCAGACTTAACCTCTCTGAACCTCCATTCACTTACCTGTAAAATAGCAAAAACAATAGTCTCTCCTTCCTAGGGAGGACATAAGGATCAAAATATAATGCATGTGGAGAGCTTATTAGCACAGTACCTTGTGCATAGGAGGCCTTCCATTAGGTTAATTCTTATCATCATTCCAATAGCAAGTACTCGTGGCACCATTCTCTATAATGCCAGGGCACGTCTCGTGGAGTTAGAAACCTCAGATGAAGAACAGCTGCTATAACGTGTATATCCTTGTTGATCCAGGCCCAGCCATTCAGAACTCTACTTCCCAGGCAGTCCCAGGCTCCTCAGCAGACTCTAGTTTGGATGAATATGCACAACTACTTCAGGAGGAAGACTAGCAGGATCCTCCAGGGAACAATCTCTTAGCCATTCCCCAAGATGTCCCAAGCCCAGCTTTCTCTAGATTCTGTGCATCTACTGATACCTGATAATCTTCCAGTAGTTCCAAATCTGTGTGGTTGTGCCACAGGAAGAATAAAGTGTGTATATCCTGCTAACATATACTTTTTCTATTTTTTATTGATGTATAGTTGATTTCATGCTGGCATTTACTGATAGAACGTTGGGAGTCAAGCCAGTCACTGTGGCAACTAGGATAGTTGCTCATCGTCTTATTTTGATGTCTTAGAGAGCTGGGCTCTATTGTGCGTCAGCAGCAGTGCGGTCTGCAGCTCCCCCCAGCACCTGTCATGTTGCTAGGAGATGTCTTTCCCCACAACAGAGTATTATAAGGTACTTGGCAAGAAGGACCTGTAATGTCATCATACATTTACAGCCCATTTGTCTGATTTATAAGCCCAAATAGCTATTTAAAAATTCCAAATCAGGCTTTGTCAGGCAGCCCCACTCTCTTGTCATCCACAGATCAAACTGTTATGTTTACAGCTGTAAATAGTGAGTGACTTCTGCACACAGCCTCAGAGCAGGTGTCCCAGACTTGCTAATAATGAATCACACGGCGGGGATATTTACAAGCAGTATAGCCTGAAAGTGTGCCCACTGCTTTCTTCAGCAGAACTTACCTTTTCAAATAACATTTCAGGTGTATCTCCCAAACATAAACAAGATGTCAATGCAGGCGGTACTGGATTATCTCTATACTAAGCAGTTGTCACCTAACTTGGACCTGGACCCACTGGAACTAATTGCCTTGGCAAACAGATTTTGCCTGCCACACTTGGTTGCACTTGCAGGTAAGGCTGATGATTCAGGGCCATGCGGTATCTATCATATTTTTCAAAATGACATTTAAGCAAAAATAATACTTCCAGGGAATAAAAATTAAATTTTTATCACCCAACATAGGACTGTCTTGTACAGGGTGATATGAACTGATCAAAAGTATCAAACAGCCCCAGTTCAATTCAGCAACTGGTTTTTTAAGCACCTACTTTGTATAGGTCCTGCTGATACATATAGAAGGCAGTAGTTAAGAACATAGGCTACAGATCCAGATCACTTGGGTTCAGATCTTGGCTCCACTATTTACTGGCTGGATGACTTCATACTTGATTTAATTACTCTGTGTCTCAGCTTTCTCTCTCTCTTTAAAATGAGAATAATGATATTCTACCACAGAGTTGTTATGAAGATTAAATGAGTTAAGAGATTATATATATATAAAGAGAGAGAGTCCTTAGAACAGTGTCTGGCACCTAGTAAGCATTATGTAAGTGGTTTTCTTAAAGCTATTTTAGAAAATGTTCTGACATTGTCAAGATCATTTTGGGAAAAAGAGAAAAAAGGGAGACTTGATTTAACTTCACAGAACCTTATGTATCATTCTAGATTTGTTCAGTTGGTAAGCCAAAGCAGATCTAAATAAGATATATGCTTTCAAATACCCTTTTCTTGAATTTAAACCTTCTGTTTCATTTACCAAAGTTGTTGATTAGCAGTAAGGGTGCTACATTTAGTTGACTCTTGTTAACCATGAAAGCAGGATAGTGCCGTTTTGTTCACTGGTATATGCTCTGTACACAGAGAAGTGCCTGAGCAAAGGAGCTTCTCAGTAAAAGTCTGTTGAAGCATTAAATGAAAATGAAGGTATGAACAAACCAACCAGCCACATCTGCCCTTGACTTCCTGACAGTATCTTTAGAAAAAAAAAGATTTATTTCTCTGCACTCCAAGTTTCTACCATGTTCAGCCAACTGGAGATCAAAGTTTTCTCCTCACCTTCTTTCTTCAACAACTGGATAACAAGAAATAGTATTGCTATTCTTTTTTTTGGGGCGGGGGGGGCCCACACTGCACGGCAGGTGGGATCTTAGCTCCCTGACCAGGGATCTAACACGCAACCCCTGCATTGGAAGCACGGAGTACTAACCACTGAACAGCTAGGGAAGGTCCTGCTATTCATTCTTTAAACTTTTTTTTACCAATAAACCTGAAGTCATAGATTCAAATGAGTATTGCTGCTTTTTCAATACTAACTCTAGGAGGCTACAGTAGGCAATTCTTTTTTTCATAAGTAAGAATCTCAAGCCATTTGACTATCGGGTTTTTATAAGTATTTGCCCTTTGAGGATAAACTGAACTGTTTTACATAATCAAAAGTAATTTGGAGCCAAATCTGTTGAACAGGATTTGTGATCAGTCTTAAAGGAGGGCCATTTTTGCTTAAATATTAAGGGTGGTGATGAAAACATGGGACTGATTTCTCCAGGAAAGAAACTGACCCAAAGAAACCTTCCTGTGTTAACTACAGACTTCTATGTATGTTTATTTTTCTTCAGTTCAGTTCAGTCACTCAGTCATGTCCGACTCTTTGCGACTCCATGAATCGCAGCATGCCAGGCCTCCCTGTCCATCACCAACTCCCGGAGTTTACTCACGGTTATGATTATTTAATATACATCTTTCTAAGATGATTCCTTTAATCATTTCTATAGTATTTGCTGTTTAGTGTAAGTATAGTGTCTGGAACAGAGTGTTTAAAAAATCAGTTTCTGGGTGAAAATGCCCTGGCGAGCCAAACTGTCATTTAACACTTTGGACTTACCTAAAATTTAAAACCCAGTGACTCCTCTGGAAGATTTAGTTACAAGTAGTTATTTGTCTGTCAATCCAGCTGAGGAAGGTCATGCCAAAGAAACCATCCCAAACTTGAGACCATGTTGACTAGGTAAGAGACATATAGACTAACAAATAAGCACATAAAACCAGAGCAGAAAGTAAGCATGGTTTGGACAATATACTAAAAAATTAGATGTGATGCTAGAGATGAAAAAAAAAAAAGCATCAAGGAGCTGGAAATGCCAGGCCAAGACTGTGCCCACTCATGTCAAGGCCAGAGGCAGGCAGAGGCAAAAGGCAGCTCAGTGGCAGAACCAGAGTCTGAGTTCAGCATAGAATCCTAGAACACAGCTTCCAAGCAGAAACGACGGTCCCATCTAGATCTATGTGACTTGTGGCTGAAGACTGCCCCAGTCTTTCGAATCTAAGAGGTTGAACAATATGTCCCTTGTCTGCTGCTGCTGAGACACACATAGGCATTAGCAGTTTTAATTCCCCATCTGGACTCATTACTGGCAACCTCTCCACAGTCAGAGAATATTGAGAACTGGAGTGATATGAGTGAGGAAACCATCAAGCAGGAAGATACAAGAGTCTAGAGGATTCTAGCAGGTCCTAGCCTGCCCAGAGCATCACCCCCTCAAGCAGAACTTTCTGCAATCAGAGACTTTCTGTGTCCGCATTGGCCAGTACACGTGACCACTGAGCACCTAAATGTGGCTGCTGTGGAGCTGAGAACCTGAATTTTTTATTTTGTTTAACTTTAAGTAAAAGTTTAAATCGTCTCTGGTGGCCAGTAGTTACAAACTGGACGGAGGTGGTCTGCAGGACTCGGGCTGTTTCAGAAAGGCTCACAAGTGTCCCCAGAGTCTTCCGTGAACTGACTCGAGCCACGACTCGCCATACTGGAAGGCCTCGCATCAGAGAGGGCCCTTGGTTCAGTTCACATGGAACCGTGTCCCCCTACCTCCTCCCCTCTCAGATGACCCCAGACGGCAGCCTGCAGGCACTAACATCTCCTGCCCGCTCTTCTCCCCAGAACAGCACGCCGTTCAGGAGCTGACCAAAGCCGCCATGAGTGGTGTGGGCATCGATGGGGAAGTTCTCTCTTACTTGGAATTGGCCCAGGTTTGTAGCAGTTTGCCTTTCACCTTTTCAGTGTACTCAACCAGTTCATTTAATGCTGATAAAACATTCCACTGTTGCATCTGAACAAATAAAGATGTCACCACTGAGTCACAGAAGCCCCCTGCTGTGTGCAACAGAAAAGATCTGAGAGTTTTAAGTTTCATGAACTGTTCACCCTGCTGGGCTTCACTTGAAAAAACAACAAGGGCCCTGCCCCCACACCAACCCCTTTGTGCGCCGCCTTCCAGAGGCAGCAGCTTCATATGTGGGAGAACAGCTCAGGGCATGGGAGGGGAAGGCGCTTGTCTCTTTTTTGAATTCTCAGACATGCGTTGGCTGAGATCAGACAGTTTCTAGAATTCCATGAAGTACAGGGTTGCCTCCCATCTCACTGCAGCTCTCCTGGTTTTCCTTTTTTTTTTAATATCAGCACTTGTTACTGTTGATGTTGTGATTCCATATCCCAGCACACACTGCCCTCTTCCTCTAGAGACGGTCAGAGATCAGTCTTGGCTTTATCTCTATGTAATTTATTTAAGACACAAAGCTAAATGCTGCCTCCATTTCCTCATCTGTTGGAAATGGGGATGGTAATTCACTCTCTGTCAACCTTACCGATTATTTTGAGAAACAACTAGGAGAGAATGTTTCAGAGCATCAAAGAGGGGAAATCCTCTCATAATACAAGGCACATAGGCGGAGTTATCTAATCCCTGACCTAGACTTACAGGCCATGAGTTTACACTCTGAAGGAACTAAGAATAAATTCTTCAGACTTTTCTGTGACCTGTTGGATTTGGTTTTCTTTGTTCCCTGTCTTGGTTAGGGCAGTGGTTTACTAAATCTTACATCAGGCACTTCAAATCGGAATTTGTCAACCAAGGAAGAGAAGGAGGCAGGCCTATATCACATGTTCCTCAGGCCACTCTGACTGTCGCCCTGAGAGATGTTTAAGAGGGGAAAATGTGGATCAGGGCTTCACAGCAACCTGCTCTTCCTGACTCAACATCCAACAAGGATTTGTTATTTCCTCCCCTTCTACCAGGCACCACCTTAGATAAAAGGACATGTAGATTCTCTGCCCTTGGGGCCATCATAGGCCACTGAGAGAAACAGACCCAAGCACAAATTACTAAAATCCAGTGTGAAAAACAACCTCATAGAGGTTACAAGTTAAAACTGAGAGCAGACATCAACTGCAGTGAAATGAGCACTGACTGTCCACGTTTGGAATTTGGGGGTGTTCTGAAACAGGCCTAGGGGAGAAATTAAGACTTGTGCCCCTCCAGTAAGTATCCCTCCTGGAGAACCATCAGATGACCCGGAATCTCATATAGGCCAGCCCGATGGAGGTAATATAGCAGTTGTGTCTATCTTTTTACTTTCTGTTCTCACCCTGTCCCCTCCCCTGACCAACAAATAAACCCAGGAAGGAAACAGAATCATTCCTGACTAAGCTCTGAAAAGCCTTGGAGGAGGCATTTAGGATGGAGCCTTCAGTATCTTAGCTCATTCATTAGACTCTAACCCAGGGATGCACTGGCAAGTATTTAACTATCAGCTTGGGGATAGCAGAGACCCTGATCTGTTGCATTTTCCAGTCTCCATGGTGTAAATACCCCACCTGCCCAACTTTTAACAACTCAGTCACTGAGCTCAGAGTAGCAAAGAGCTGCACCCAGTGACGCTCTTGAGCAGGTACAAGCCAACTCCAACACAGCACTGCTCTAATGTGACTTTCAGGGAGAAATCTACTATCAAGACAAGTTGGACGCACTGGCTAAAATTGTCTGTCCTGCTGGGCTTGTGATCTGCAGAGAGTTTCTTGAATTAGTTCCTGGGGACGTTGGCTTTTCTTTTGGCCTCTGTTCCGGGCGTTGACAGGGGCCTCAGAGGAAGCATGCTGTGGGTTTCAGGGGTTCAGCTGCTCAAAGAAGCATCAAGAGTAACAGACAATAGAACGGATGTCCGAAAGAGGCCTGGACAGAAAGAGTGAGGGACGTGAGAGACCTTCCAAATTTGGGGACAAGATGAGGAGTTAACTATGGATTTTTGTGTATCAGATCTTTTGCAGACACAGCTACCTCAGCTGCCATGGTCTTGTCCTGTGCATCTTCTCAGAAAGGAGAGAGTGCATGGAGTATCTGGCTCCCTCCCTCCCTGCCCACATCGCCTGCTCTTCTCATGTAACCAAAAGGACAAGTATAGGACAGTCACACATGCCGCAGTCTCCTCTTTCAGATCACTGGCCCCAGCCAGCTGAGCTCTGACATATGACATGGAGGATTCTGTTGCCGAGGCTTCCTTGAACAGAGATGACATCGCTGCTTTCTGCTACAGGCTGGTGCCTTCCAGAGGCCGTGACCACTTCTCATTAGAGGGCAGGTGTGAGGGTAGGGGGTAAGAGGCAAGGCAGACTTTAAACTCCTGATTCAGTAATTATTTTTAGTGCACACATCCCAGAGGTGAGAGGAGGATGCCAAACACTTGCATGTGGCTGGTGTGGAAACTGTAGCCAAAGTCAAAACACTAGTCAAAACAACAGGTTTCTGAATTAGTCATCTGGGCCTTTTATTTCTTTGACCCCTACCATGACTTTATTTCTTTGTAGTCCCACTTGAGAAAATAGAGGTCTGACCCCCTTTTGGTCACTTCCCTGCAGTTTCACAATGCCCACCAGTTGGCCGCCTGGTGTTTGCACCACATCTGCACCAACTACAACAGTGTTTGTTCGAAGTTCCGCAAGGAAATCAAATCAAAATCTGCAGGTGAGGTTGTGTGGTCCCCATCTGTCCAGTTCTCATCACCTGTGACTGAAGGGTTTCCCTTCAGCTCAAGGAGGATTCCTTGTGGTCATATGGCAGTCACAGATTCATGTGACATGCATGACCCAAGGAATTGTATGTTGGAAATCCTCTCTGGAGAACCTCATGGCTAGGGGGATTTGTGTGGAGACGGGTGGGAGAGGGGTTGTTCAGGGTGCCCTGCTGCAGAACAAGCAGAGATTGTTGGTTCACCCTTGTCCGGGAAGGCAAAAGGACCTGGGTTCAGGCTCTCTGTGTCCAGCTGTGTAATGTTAGGCAAGTGATTCCACCTCTTATGAACCTTTAGTGTCATAATCTGCCACTGGCCCTACTCAGCGTCCCTGCCCACTGGTTAACTGAGAGGATGCACATGATAATCGTCTCAGAGAAGCCTAAGCACAGAACCTAGCAGGTATCGTCATCTGCATCTTTTCTTCCCCAGACAACCAGGAATACTTTGAGAGGCACCGCTGGCCTCCCGTGTGGTACCTGAAGGAAGAAGACCACTACCAGCGCGTGAAAAGGGAAAGAGAGAAGGAAGACATTGCACTAAATAAACATCACTCGAGAAGAAAGTGGTGCTTCTGGAATTCATCTCCAGCAGTCGCCTGAGGCGGAAGAGGGAAAAAAAGTCAGAAATCTGACACACCACTCTTAAAAGCACTACTGTAAAATTAGTGTTATTTTTAGAGATAACATGTAGTTCAGGTTTCAGGCACTGATCTTCCTCCACTTTTGTGCATTTATCTTTGTTGGGATCAAAGCACAAGCTCACCATCCATGAGCCTGGACAAAAAGGGAAGTTGACGCTCACTGCATTCCTTAAACTTATATGTATATTTTTTGTTAGAAGGCTTAATAAACTTTAGTCTGTTATCTCATTTCTTTTTATACAAACGAAAAAAAATCCAGCTTTCATGTTTCAAATTCCAAATTGGAAAATATTTTTATATGGTCTCTTGTAAATGAAAATACTGTGTATTACTTTATTTTACAGGCCACACATTAACCATGAAGTCACCCTGCGATTCTCTTTGCCCATGTAACCACTGAGCATTATTACTTAATTAGAGGGATATCCTTTTGTCACGAAGTGAAGGGTTGGAATGAAATTCCCCAAAGTACAATTTAGAGAGTGTTTCATCTTTGTTCTGCCGAATAACATCGGTATAATTACCAAGTCAACTCCAAGAATCTGTATTTACAATATTTACTGTGTAAGTGCTAGTAATTATATGGTTATATGTGCCATGTAAAATATAGTGATATCAAATCTTCTGTTGTTTAAAATGTCTAGATTTAAGAGGATAATCTTTATAATCATTAGAAGGGCTTATTAAATCCCAGCATTATCCAGGGCAAACTCTCTGGTGGACCTGAATACAAAAGATACCACAAGAACGCTGGTGTTTGGATTGCTATATGAAGATGTCCGTCTCTCAGTGTTCCTTGATCTTGCCATGTTTCTGCATGCAGTTTTGCCACTGACTTGAATCGAGATGGGCAAGGGTAAGGGTCCCCGGACTCTGTCCCCTCATCTGCAGACTTGTCACATCCCACCAGAAACAGGCTTCCTCAGGTCTCTCACCTGCGGCCAACTTCACTTTGTAAGACCCATGTTTTTAACTCTTCCCAGGGAAAATTCACGTTGCTGCAGAAGTAGACCAAGGCAGACCACCCACCCCTGCTGAAATTCAGTGGGAGGGCCTGTGAAGGCACAGAGCTGGAGGCTGGGTCGTCTAAGGTCACTGTATTCTCCAACGCAGACGGGAATTTTACTCCAAGAGTCTAGGAAATGGTGCTATTGTGAGTTAGTTATGACCCTTTGTCATTCTGAGTTTTCAGTGTTAGAAAGTATTGAGCAGGGGGGCTTTTGAGAGGCCATCAATCACTGCTTCTCTGTAAATTAAAATGTTACAGCACTCACACAGAGCATTTTAAGGCCACAGTTCCATAACCTGTTTTGGGATGTTGTGTGGTGGAGGCTTGGGCTTATTCTGTTCAGAGGTCAATTTACTGATACTAAAAGCTGTTGATTTTTTTTTTTTCCTAGCTTTCAGAATTTGGAAAAGAGACAGTTGAGCCCAAACTCCAATGTTAACAACCAAATATATTTGAAAATCTATCCAGATTACAGATTAGCACTTATTGCTGGCAGTGGATACATACCAGTTAGCAAAATTGGGAGAGGCCCAGAAATGTTATCACTCTCTCATGACAAAGGACTGGGCATTAGAGTAGGGAAGGATGGGATGATTGTAAATACATCTACCTTAATTTTGGATCAATAGGTTGTAAGTCATGAATGGAAGGAGAACGGAGACAGAATGAGAGGAAGAATCAGCATGTATCCCATCATAGAATGATAGAAGTCGAGTTCTCGATGAATAGTCAGAGTTGAATTTATACAACCAAAGCTCCAATGTGATTGTAATCTTGCCAAAATGTAATGGACATGTAAATGAACCTGGGGTATAAGCAATAATATCCACTAGTGTTATCAGCTACTGTAACCAAGTGGCTGGTTCATTTGGTTGATGCTGATTATGGCCTTTACCCATGGTGGTTTGTTTTGTTTTTTATTTCACAAAAAGCCAATAAAATTGTTTAGCTATAAAATGCCTCCAGTTTTTTGTTTTTTTTTTTTCTCTAAGGACTACTATCATTATTGTGTGTGTAATTTTCATTGCTTTTTAAAAGAACTATCAAAGCTTTAAGGGTGCTGGGTTGTGGGGCATATGTGCTTCAAGAACAAAGCAGCTTGAATAACTGTCATCTTTGTCTTTAGTACTGCCAGCAGATTGTAAAACCATGATGTAAATGAGGGGTCTGGCTCTTTGGTTTTGGCTAATATGGTTATGTCATTAGACATGGTACAGTTTTTGAAAAAAACAAAAATAATATCTCTACCCTAGTGGACTTGTTTTAATCTGATTTTGGGCGATTCTACCAGCAATTAAGTCAAAGTTTTCATTGGTGGACTCATGAAGAACAGTCTTCTTTGGAAGCAGATCTGAGAAAGCCTTTGGAAAAATTTAAAATTAATCTCTGAACTTCTAGGTAGTATATTTGCCCAATCTCAGAAGGAAGAAGGGTCTCCAATGAGGTCTCAAGAGGGATTTTCTGAGTAGCAAATGCCCCATGAAAGGAGTTAACAACTATAAAATATAACTGCATGAAGAAGACAGTTTCCAATACATTTGCACACCCTTTTAAAGGTGGGTGGTCCAGACCAGGCACCTTTTATCTAATACATGCCAGTGAAGTCTTCCCTCTAGAAAGTCTTGGTCTAAGTTTCTGGCAAACCATTAAGGATTTCAGCAACCCTGTATCAGCATTCTAGGAACCACAAATTTTACTGGTTTAGCAGTAACTCAAGTATCTTCATTGTAGACATTCACAAGCAAGAATTCTATGCTCCCAAGATTTTTCTCCCACTTGCTTCCATTGTTTGGTATATCAGTTGTCAAAGTTAGTTTTTCATCACCGTGACATTGGCTAAGCAGAATAAATTCTACCAGTCAGAGGGGAAAGAACAAAGTGAATTCTGAATTTGGAAATGTACAAGTGCAGTATTTCTGAAATGAATCCTTTTCTGCAAGCTGATTTATCAGGCTTTTTCTTAGAGAAATACATATGGTGTGTCTTTAATTGGATGCTAGGGGGCAAGTAGCAATAATTCCTCTTTTCTAGAGGAATGTAACTATTGCATAAAAGATGTACAGTTAAAAGTTAGCCAGGGAGAATGTATCTGTGGTGTGTGTGTATGTTTGTGTATAAGTAATCAAGAAGCAACATAAATAGGAAAATGGCTAAAGATAATTTTAAAAAATAAAGAGAGAACGAGGAAGGAACTGATCAGATCCATGGAAGCTGAATTAAGCATTATGAGCTTTTAATGTACCTCTTTCTTCCAAAGTGCTAATTTATGAAATTATTCAATATCTCATGATTTAATTTATTTTCAGATACAGACTTTGCTCTACTGAATTTCCAGTTAGGAGGCAGATGATGTATGCACCATGGAAATGCATTGGTGTGTCAACCCTGCTGACCTGTCAAAGGAGAAGCCATGTTTCTCCTTTCAGCTGCGTTTGTAAATCTCACCCTGTGCTGCTAGTGTCTTTAAGTTGGATATTTTTACTTAAGCCATTTAGATGCAACATTTTTCACTGGATTCATGTGCAGGTGCCTCATCAGTTAGACTTCTACAGACTACAGTCTACAAAATATGGAAATAATTTGGGAGCAGATAACTCTTGGGTAGAAACAAATCAATCATAAGTTTCACATGCACAGACATGAACGTGTTAGAAACAACATTAGGAGACAAGAAGTGACTTGCCAGCAACTCACTCCTGTTGCTTCAGGAACAGAACATCTTCATGACATGTATTTCCAATAGAATGTAGATGAAATGGGTGATTCCCAAATGTGGCCCTATGGAAAGAGGAGGTAAATTCTTTGAGTCTGAATACATTCTCAGACCCAAAGACAAGAACGCTTAGCTGTTACTTAGGCAATCAATGAGAAAGAACTTTATTCATATCCCTCTGCATGGATGCCAACCAAAGTTTGGGCATTTTTTTTTCCCTCCCAATCTGATAAAAATAAACATCCTTTTGATTCAATGATTCATAATAGTCCCAGTTGGAGGGATAATACCTATGGAATGTTAAGATCAACTGTTGTGTGAAGAGACACACAACCTTTCTAAGCTGTAGTTGTCTTAAAAAAGTGGAGATGGATTTCATTGAGTTTTTGGTGCAGATTAAATGATATGATTTGGCACAGTGCCTGGCATGTAGTTATCACTTAGTACTCAGCACATCAAATACCCAGATGAGAAATCCAAGAGAAGAGACAACTCTGCAAGTTACAAAAGGGAACAAAGATGTCTTTTCCTGCATTTCTCTTAAACCATATGCCAACTTGGCTTCTTAGTGCTCCATGACAGTGATGAAAGAATTAGAATATTAAGAGTCATGACAAGAGAAAAAGCAGGTGGTAGGAGGATAGGGAAGAGTATAGCTCTTTCCAAGAAGACATTGTCCCCACCATTCTACCCTTCTCTCCATGGAATAAGGGCTAGACCACCCTAAGGTGGCTTCCCTAATGGTTCAGTTGGTAAAGAATCTGCCTGCAATACAAGAGACCTCGGTTCAATTCCTAGGTCAGGAAGATCCCCTGGAGAAGGAAATAGCAACCCACTCCAGTACTCTTGCCTGGAGAATTCCATGGACAGAGGAGCCAGGCAGGCTACAGTCCATGGGATGGAAAAGAATTGGACACAACTGTGCAACTAACTTTCACTTTTCACCCTAAAGTGAAACTTGACTGAGCCTCTGATTCACATCAAGCTTTTTCCTATTTATTGCTCTTCAATCATTTTCTAAATTTTTCCTGAAGCTTGGAAAGGTTAAGAAGGAGTTAAGGAGGAGTCTACTTAACCAGACTCCTCAGTGTTCTTCAGTGCTTGGCATTATCATCTTCAGCAGTCTCCTTTATTTTCCATAATTTCTTTCATTTCTTCCACAATATCCACTCCTATAATATGTTTGATATATGTCTTTAGAAGTGCAGATGTCCTTATACAGAGTGCCGCTTCATGA